ACAGACAGACAGACAGACAGACAGACAGATAGATAGATAGATAGATAGATAGATAGATAGATAGATAGATAGATAGATAGATAGATAGATAGATAGATAGATGCCGTAACTGTTGTTAGGTATGTTATTGCTGGTTGTTGTAGCAATTTGCTGTATTATGAAAATCTCCAGAAAAGGTGGGGGTATTTGGTTTAAGAATGTGCTTCTTGCTGCCAAAATGATAATTATAGTGCCATACATTTTGATTTTTTTCTCTCATTTTCCTTCTACAGCTCCTTTTCAGCTCTCTTTATGGGGCATCAATAAAGACCTTGGGTTGTTGCATCCTCATTTCTCACCTCAACCAAAGACCCATGAGGGACCTCAAATTCTTCAAAATGAAGGTATCACAGAAGCTGAACAAGAGCAAGTTATTTCCCCTAGACCTTGCCACAGGTTACATGAACATAATTTTGATTTTAATAGGACACAGAACACACAGGAACATCATGAAGCCACCTAAAAAGTATCAAAGTGGAAAACCTTAACAGCAAGCTTGGAGCAGTTGACTGTATCTTTGCTACCTCAGGTTTTGCCCCATGGCCAAAGATGTTCCATGCTTCTGTTAGGTTCAGCGGACCAGACTCGTGACTGCCTGCCATAGGCAAAGAATGGACAAGCAATGAAAGACAGCCTTTCCTCTGTTGAGTTCCACTAAGTGGTACATGTTAAAGCTCAGCAGTCCTAAGAACTAAATAGTGGACTGGAGAGAACACGGTACATTAAAGTATCCCTGTTGCCTTGGAAACAGTCCCATGAAAGTTTCATAAGCACTTCTTTCTTGCTGAAGAAACCAACTACTGTACAAAGAGTCCCTTTGCAAGATCCCTTGATCATCTTGAGCATGAAGCTCTTGCTGGCCTCACTTGGTTCTTGTAATAGCTGACAGAAATGTACATCACTTTGTTCAGTCGCAAATGTTATTTGCTCTCTCTCTGGTAAAAGACTTCAGTTGTAAATACATTTATATAATATAAATATTTTGTATACACTACTAAACATATAAATGTCAGGCTGAAATGTACATTTTGTGTTATGCCAAAAATTACATTGTGTTGTACCATTGCGGCATCTGCTGACCAACCCGTAAAATACAACAAATGGTTGTTTCAAAGGATTAAAGGCTTATGGGCTGATTCATACAGTCATCTGTTCCACACAGTAACCGCAGTTATCTCTTGCTATCCTAGTGAGTGGAATTTTTCATTCTATGATGGGTCTTTTCACAGTCTAGTATGAGGGCTCTTAGTAAGAGTACAGATCACACATGAAAAGGGCTTCATGTGAATCAGTCCATAGGCTCTGAAGCAGGAGCAGGTGCATGTGATCGGGGCCACAAGCGATTCTTTTGTGTAAACTTTTAAGTTATTCTTAAAATGCTGCAGTTACAAGCTGTTTAACTTAAGTGGTCATGCTCTAAACTTCACGGCTTCTTAAAAAGGTCAATAGTATGACTGCTCAAACCTTTAAAAACTGAACTGGTGACTTTTGTGTAAATGAGCTACCGTGGATCTGATAAAACTTAAACATGACTTCAAAACCAATGTTTTTGGTGAGACCTGTTCACACACAAGGCTGTGAGAAATGAAGAAGTGAGTGCACATGGTGAGAATTGGTCTTGAGAAGTCAAATACTAAATATTGATGGTTAGCTTAAGAAGTTTGGGTCATTTCCAGCTGGCACAGCAGGAGTGGAAAGAAAGTTAACCACACTTTCTAACTTACTGTTTTACTCCATAATGAAAGGTCATACATGGCAGATGATTATAACTAACATAAATCTGAAAAGCAACCACAGGAAAAAGTAGATTATCTTTAAAGAAAAAGGCTATACAGCTAGTATTACTGATCTTTCTGGTTAAGACATTTCAGAGTTCTGGAACACAAGTTGAGGAAATCTAAGCTATAAATATGCCATCATCATAAGCAACTACATTTGCCATAGCCAATCATCAGCCATATTGAGACAAAAATAAAACTTAAAAACTATAATGCTGTATTGAAATAATAATAAAAATGGAAAAAGTATCAGTGCAATTTTAGGCATGTCTACTCAGGTGTAAGTCCCACTGGATTCAATGAGTTCAGATCAGTGGTTATAGGATTGTAGCCTAAATGTGAAAATTAGCCACAGTTTTAAGTTCTGTGCAGTAAATAGGCTCATTAATCTTTCTGTACTGTTCAGTAAAAGATGCTGCCTGAACTATTTGGGCATCATTTTATATTAAGATGATGGTGGGTATGAAAGGCTTACCAGGGTAATTATAGTCCCGGTTAATTGAATTAATTTGCATAGAGCTCATTATGAATCAGGCTTGGCTAGTGTAATTGTTGGTTTCTTTTTAGCAGTTGGAATTCTGGTATTCTTTTGTTACTGTGTGCGTCCTGTCATATAAAACAGGAAATTTTGGCTGGAAATAATGGTACTCTTCTTTTTAACATAAGACTAATTAGCAGATTTGTCTCAGTTACACTACGTCCTGAGCCAGGTACCTAATCTGTACAAGTGCAAGCTCCATATATGGTAGGTCCTTGCCTTTTATTTCTTGGCTGCTTTAGAAGGTGTGGACCCCTCCTGCTTCTTATTCATGCTTAATCATTGTTTCTCCAAGACTTGCAAAATTGCAAAGCCCCATCCTCCAAAAGTGTCTGAGGTTTCCAAAGTGGTCTTCCGATTGTCTACGAGAAGCCTTAAACTTCTTTCTGGGGCAAAAAAGGTTAGTCGTTCATTTCAGTTGGGTTCACTTCAAAGCCCTCAAGACAGATGAACAGAATTAGATTTATCACTGCTCCATGTCTCCCCCTCCCTGCTTGCTGCCTTATTATCTATGAAATGTCTTATCTGACTTAAAACAACTAAAATGAAAATACTGAATATGCAGTTTTTGCACGTGGTGATCATCCAAATAACAACAGCACTTTACTTTCATCCCAGATGTTTGTAAGTTATGCAATCTGTCCCATTTGAGCAGCCTTTGTTGAAATACTGGGTACTTTCTAAGGATATACAAGTAGGACGATATCTGAAACAAATCCAGTCTGCTTCATGCCTTTGAGGAGAGAGTAACTGTGGCATGAATCACACCTTTGTAAACTAAATGAAAAGTATGTCAGAGTGATCCTCTGGGGTTAAAATCACCCAGTCAAGGAAGACTGTTCTGCAGTAGTATCTCAATGTTGCTGATTCTGCATGTTCAGTAGTTCATACCACTAGAACAGTTAAAGCATTCTTTTCCTACTTGATAAAAAGTTGTTCCAGTAAATGAGCAAGTTAAGAGAGCAGGAACCTGCCACTAATGAATCCATTCAGCATAAGACATACAGTATTGTAAAGCAAGGCTGGAAAAGCATATGGTTGGGGAAAGGACACTTAATTTTGAAACATGAATTATTCACCTACCTGTCTGTTTCCAAAAAGATCTGTATTAAAATTGTAAGGAGGAACGTTATTCCACTAATACTGTTCCTCCCTCCCAATGCCAAAGTATTTGTAGCTGGACATCCATGTGGCAGTGCAGACCAATAGCTCTTTGCCTGTACCTGTCTTTCCTTGTATCTATTTATATTTTCTCAGTTATCAGAATGTATATTTTGTATAGCATGTGTAAAATGTTTGTCTGTTGTAACATATCATCATCCAATAAAGTGACACACAGTGATCTGCCTTGGTTTGTCATGGTATCCGGCAGGCCAGATGTGTATAGCCCAACAGATATAATTGCCATTTGCTGTGACCAGTCTAAAAGTACTTAAAGGGGGCACAGAAGGAAAGAGGAACCTATTGCTACAGTTCTTTTGAATGTTGAGGTTTGTAAGTAGTACCTTGAATAACTAGAATGAGGCTGAACAGCATCAAGGAATTTTATCCTCTTGTGCAATGCAGAGCTTTGCTTTCCAATTTTAGCAAGCTGACGCTGTGCAAAAAGAGTTCACTGACACCATGGCCTTGCAATTATATTAGCCTGGTATGTTCAGTTCAGTCATCTGTTAAGTCTGAGAAGAGCTGTCTGCAAACTAAAGATTTTTTTAAAAAGGCTTGGGGCTCAAATACACCAGCATTTCATGTCAACCTGCTGGAGTGTTAATATAATGAGGAGCAGCCCTTCCCTGTATGTCCCCTGTGCAGCAGTCCCTTTGCTTTGGAACACTTTCCCACCATGAGGTGTACTTAGTACCAATGTTGCATTTGTTTTGGCACCAGGATAAACCTTTTAATTTTCACATGCATTAAGACAGTGGTTCCCAACCTTGGGTCCCTAGACATTCTTGGCCTACAACTCACAGAAGTTTCAACCAGCACGGTTAGTGGTAAAAGCTTCTGGGAGTTGTAGTCCAAGAACATCTGGGGAGCCAAGATTAGGAAACACTGCATTGAGATATGGCCAAAAGATAAAAAGCAGGCAAGCCTTTATGTAGACTGCTATACAAGTAGTCTGCCATTTTATAACATCCATTAAACCAGATTTTAGGGGGTTTGAGTATTTCAAGGGTTTGTTACATTATTTACAACTTATCTGAATGCTTCTCTGTTATGAGTGGGTCTTGATTCATTATTTTGTTCATTGTATTTAGCAGAATAATCACATGTATCTGTTATAAAATCGAGGCACATCAGTTACACCAGAGGTGGATGGCCAACTATTAGAGGTTGGGAGGCTTTACCCCCCAACTCCTGGACCTCAGATAGTTTGCCTCTACTGCTCTGCGTTTAAAAACATTTTCAAAATAGAAAATAAACCCAAAGATCCTTCAGACTCCCTAGGTTGCAAAGTGAAATTTTGTCATGTTCCTCCCCTCCATAAAGCTGCTTTCAGGCCTGTATGGATTTTTCTCTCTCCCAAACCAGAAGCTTAAGATGGCAAAACCATTGCAGAATTCCCTCCATTGCCATAGAGTGCAAAGTGTGCTAAGGTTTAAAAAAACCAAAAACACAGGGGGTACTAGAGGACCTACATGTGTTCCTTGAAGGGCTTACATGCAAGGTGGGGGCCCTGCTTTGATAATCCTTGACTTACATGGTCAATGAATGCAAAGATCACCTTTAAAATAAACTTTGAGAAGATAGCAGGGAACCAATCTTTTTCCTTGTTCGGTCTGTGCTATGTGGGTGAGGCATATTTAGTGATGCCACTCTGCTTTGAGCCAGGCAATATGTTTCAACCCGAGTATCCTCTAGTCGAGGTGCAGCCTGGAGAAAAAAATTTGAAAGACACATATGAAGCAGCCAAAAGGCTGGCCCAAGACATTTTTCTACTTGACACAAAGAACAGGAAGGGTCCTGATAAGTTGGCTGGACATACTACTGAATCTTTACTTCAGCACTAGCAGTGGGGTACCATCCTCCACTGTATGTGATAACAACAGGCTACTTTAGAGGCCCAAATCAGATTGTGTGACAATTCAGTAGAGTAGAAACTCAATAACAACACTATTTGGCAAGATCTCCATATAAGAGTCTCAGTAACAAAACTGCACGTATTTAATACAGGGAAGGTAGCACAGGGAAAAATTACAATGCCTCTTTATGATGGCTTTTTTACATATAAGAGTCTCAGTAACAAAACTGCACTTATTTATTTTATACAGAGAAGGTAGCACGGAAAAATTACAATGCCTCCTTATGATGGCTTTTTTAAAAAAACAGGTTTAAAAAAACCAAAAACACAAGTATACCCATACAATGAAATTCACAGACACCCAGAGACCAGACATGCACACACATAAAATTCCCCAAACAATCCCCACCCACTAAAAAATCCCCCAACACTCCCCACCCACTAAAAGTCCCCACTAAAAATAAAAACATCTACACCGCAGGCCAAGTAACAGAGTCCAACTAACTATTCACTACTGGTGGTCTTTAAGCTCATTATTAAGTGCAATTATAGCTCTGGGATAAAAACTATTCAGAAAACGTGTGGTCCGAGTCTTAATTGTTCTATATTTTCTGCCAGACGGCAACAGTTCAAAAAAGTTATAAGCAGGATGGGAAGAGTCTCTCAGGATACTGTGTGACTTCCTCAGACAGCGGGATGTGAAGATGTCATCCAGGGTTGGTAGCTGGAGCCCGATGATATTCTGGGCAATTTTAATGGTTCTCTGTAGAGCTTTTTTGTCCGCTACAGATGGAATACCATTTGCATTTTTAAAAAGACAGCCTATCAGCCGTTGGGTGTTTGCATCTTTAAAAACAAGCAGTCCCATATCTTAAAATGTACACTAATTGATTGCATGTGGTAGGGAAGGCAATGACGATTTTGTAATGAAGCATTTATCTAGCATAGCCTTGTTCCACTGATCTGTTTCTCCAATGGAACAGCAAATTATTTGTCTATCAATTTGACACTATGCATCTTTTCAGTTGCTCAGTTTCAAAATGTGCATATGTTACAGAAAGATCATGTCTTAAATCTCTTCAGCTGGTGACACTGAGAGCACTTATCTGCACAGAGGATAAAGTCCTGAGTCTGACAAATGTAGGCAATGCAGCCTTCGCTTTCAGGGCTCAATCACTGTTTGTGTAAAAGTAAAAGATACTTGAGCTTCAATCCCTTGATTGCAATCAGGTTCACAATTCAGTTTCACAGTTACAATCTCAGGCTGTACAATCTCAGAGCTTTATGTGAATGGAATACACAAGAGAACTGTACAGATATTCACCTGAGAACTTGACTGAGCCTTTTTAAGGTCCTCTAATCACAACATCCACTTGTTCAGGGATCCTCTCAATCCAGTAGTAATATTATTCTCTATGTCTCTAGAGAAGACATCAGAAACGTCTATACATTTTGGCATGGGCACTGAAAATAGCAAGGGCAGATAAAAGAGAATGTCATAGCACCAGTAGTAAGAGTGGGTTGTCAGAACAACCATATATCTGAAAGTATTGTTAGATCTCTCATAGTTCATACTTGCTTATATGAGCATCTAAGTAGGCCATACAGGTATGTCCAAAATACTATGCAAAAAGTTTCATAACACAGTGCAGATTTCAGAGTTCTGTGTTTGTAGGATCATTGCCAGGATGCATGGAATGGAACAGCTGCCATCATAAACACCAACAGAGTCACATAGAGGGAGCGAACGTAAGAGATTACGTGCCATATTTTATGCCTGTTATTCTTTTATGTCTTCCCAGGCTGTTCTCCACTAGCAGCTCTTTGATGGACAAGCAGATCTGTGCTATGCCTGTTCCATATGTGCTAGCTTCCAGACATGGATGAATTGATAGGAGTGCAGTTGCTACCATATCTAGCCCAGATGGTAAAATGTCTTGGGCCATTCCTCCTGATATCAGTCATGTAGATGGCTCATAGACCAGAAGAGGGAGGTAGTTCTCCTTCGTGGCCTCTGTGAATACACACTAATGGGTTAATCTGCGCTCGAGCAAAGCAGTTTCGGAAACTTTCACAGCTTTAAGCACTTAAGGAACCGCTACCCAGCATGTTATGGCACACGTGACGGACAGTGGGGAGGGGGGGAACATGTGAATTCACAGAGGACCACTCGAAGAACCAGAGTTACAGGTAAGTTACTTCTTTTTCTCCTTCGTGGCCTATGTGAATATACACTAATGGGAGACTGGCAAGCTGAATAACCAGGAGGAAGGACATCACGAAAATGTAGATCTGGCAAGCTGACTAACCAGGAGGAAGGACGTCACGAAAATGTAGATGCCAGGACAGCTTGACCTACTGCAGCCTCAGCCCTCGGCTGGACATCCAGGTGGTAGAGCGAGATGAGGATAGGTGGAGTGGCGCACGTGGCAGCACGGCAGACATCCGCGATGTCCACTCCACAGAGAAAGGCTGTAGAGGATGCACAGAGGACCACTCGAAGAACCAGTTACAGGTAAGTAACTTCTTTTTCACCCCCAAATTTGGGGGACATTCCTGCCCTGGTCACAACATGTTAGTGGTCAGTGACACTGCAGACTATGGAGAAGATGTGTCATGTTCTACTGACTAAGAGTTTATGACTTTATGACCCTAGAAACTCCTAGTTTAAACTTCATGGTGGCCTTGAACTCAGCACTGAGTATTGGAAAAGTTCTGTTCTCACCTTCAAACTTCCACATCCAATATGAAGATGATTATTTCCTAACAATGAGGAAGAACTCCTGCCAGGAAGAGTTGTTCAGCAGTGGAATTGACTGCCACTGTGGCAGACTCTTCTCTGCTGGCAGCTGTAAAATGGCCATCTGTCAGGGCGGTTTTGCTGTACGTTTTTGATATCTGCAGGAGAATGGGTTAGATGACCATCAAATCCCTTCCAACTTTATAATTCTGTGATTCCCTTACAAATTTGTTGTAAAGAATACTGTGTAATGTTTCTGGTGTATTTTGAACATCTAAAGTACACTATACAAATGGTATTTGTAATATGAATTACAATCAGTATTTCTATGCCACCACTTACATTCCAGTTTGCAAGAATTTGCCAATCTGTAGTTCAACATATTAACTTTTTCATGGGAAGGAAGCCTTCTTCCTCTACACCTTTGATCTGCACTAGTTTTGTCTTGGTAATGACATCATGATTTTGCTGCCTTTTGTCTACCAGCAGGTTGGGCCTGCACAAACCCTGAAAAAGCACAGACTGAGCAAGAAGCCAACTGCAAGGAGAGATGCTCAAGTGTGCTAGGGCAGTGGTTCTTAACCTTGG